TCGCTCCTGTCTTGCAGGCTGGAGTGCAGTGGCGTGATCTCTGCTCACTGCAACCTCCACCTCCTGGGTTCAAGCGATTCTCCTTCCTCAGCCTCCCAAGTAGCTGGGATTACAAGTGTGTGCCAGCATGCCCAGGTAATTTTTGCATTTTTAGTAGAGACAGGGTTTGGTCATGTTGGCCAGGCTGGTCTCAAACTTCTGACCTCGGATGATCCACCCGCCTCCACCTCCCAAAGTGCTGGGATTAGAGATGTGAGCCACCGTGCCCGGCCTGCCCTGGACTCTTTTATGTCCAGAGGTAACATTGAATTTTCATGGACATCAAATTGGCTTCCAACTGATTTGCCATTATTAAAAAGCGAAGCCGCGGAAGTCTTTGTTTACATCTCTTTGAGAACCTGAGTGTTTGATAAGATTTAAGGATTTTGTTGATGGCAGGACACAATACCCTGATAGGACAGGACGCTATTACTTACAGCTGCAAATGGGAGTAGCTGCCAGGCAGGGCCATGCAGGAGGCTGCACCCAGGGATGAGTAACAGCGAGCAGTGGAAGCCAGCAGCTTATGTGTGGTCAGTGGAGTGGACCTAACCAGGGTTTTTGGGCCCCTGTGGACTAATTTGTAAAGTTTCATGGGCTCCAGAGCATAGGGCTGTCCCCAGCTGTCAGGTAACTGGCCCTCGGGAGATAGGTAAGGTGTGTAGGGGCTCAGGGCATGAGCCCTGATAGGGAGTGGACAGGACATGGGCTTGTTCAAGAGGGGACTTGACAGCATCTCAGACTGGGTCAGGACAGGATTTTTATTTTATTTTACTTAAAAAAGTATTTATTTATTTATTTTTGAGATGTCGCCCAGGCTGAAATGCAGTGGCATGGTCACTCTGTCGCCCAGGCTGAAATGCAGTGGCATGGTCTTGGCCCACTGCAACCTCCGCCTCCTGGATTCAAGCAATTCTTGTGCCTCAGTCTCCCGAGTAGCTGGGATTAAGGCGTGCCCCACTACACCTGGCTAATATTTGTATTTTTAGTAGAGACAGGCTGGTCTTAAACTCCTGACTGCAAGTGATTTGTGTGCCTCGGCCTCCCAAAGTGCTGGGATTACAGGCGTCAGCCACTGTGCCTGGACCGGACAGGATTCTAAAGGAACACTAGAATCTACTGCCAAGGGACAGTAGACTTTAAGTCAGTCTCAGTCTGGGGGATCACTGCATAGATTTCTTCTCTTTTTCTTTTTGAAATGAAAGGTCTCACATATTTATTACTGGACTCATTGAACCCAGCCAACGAACACGTTCATAACAGATTCAGAGAAAAAAAAATATATTTCTAATAAAACATGTCCAACTCTCCAGATAGTGGTGACATTTTCAGCTTGATGTGATAATATGATTGTGACCTTCAGACAGCATAAATATGTGTGCCATATCATGTGCAATTCCTTACAAACCCAGCTTGGTTCTTCTCCAGTGTCTCCTTTTGGAGTTGTAACTGATTTTATTACCAGTTTTCATCTGAATCACTGGGAAATAGGACAATTTTGCTTCTGTTTCTTGGCCAGGAATCAATCCTGAAAGTCTTGTGAGAAGACATGGCGAGAAGCAGAGTCAAGCACATGCTATGATGGCAGAGAAAGGAACGGGGGGTGGTTAGGGGGCTCCTGCGTAGATTTCTGAGACTGACCGTCTTTCCTACGAAGCTTTACCTTCTACCCTCACAGTCAGTGAGTGGCAAGTGGTATATTTGGGTCATTCCCGGGCATGAATGCCAAAAAAAAGAGAACGAACAAATCCATTTTCTGGGTAAGAACAATAATAGCTCCCATATGAATATTGCATAACAGTTTATAAAACATCTTCAAGTACAACGTTTCACTGAATCTTCACTGCAAACCTGTAAGTACATAAGGCTATTTCTATCACTGAACAGATAAGGAAATGGAGGCTCAGAGAAGTCAAGAAACTGGCCCAGGGTCACACAGCTCAGAAGTGGAGGGTGAGGCCTTGAAATGGGGTTTTGTGGTGCTTCATCCATGACCTTTCAATTTCAGCCATCATGGGTTGTAGCCTCTGTGCTCCATGTTTGATCTTTGCCCCACGTGGGTATCTCTGACCATCTCCATGAGTCTGAAGAACATGACCATGGTCACATGTTACAACCACAGTCTTCAACAGAAAGTGCCGTCTCTCTGCTTCATGCCTGTGGTTGATTTTATGCCTGAGACAAGGACACTTTCCTATTCTAGGGGTGCTAAGCCATGGCGACCTTGAAAAGTTATAATACAGTATGAACAATTTCCGAATGTCCCTTGTAAATGTCCACCACAGCCCTAACACCTGGAGAAGTGAAGAAGGTTCCAGAGGAGGAAAGACACCCTTTGAATCATTTTGTCAGGCATATGTCACTCTACTTGGATTATTTTTCTTGAAGGCGAACACTTTTCAATCGTCCAAGGCAGAGGTCTGTCACTTTCAAGCGCACTTGATGTGTTGCTGTTTTAAAA